TAAGGAGCTACGGAAGCGCCTCAACCTGGAAGAGTGGATCTTAGAACAGCTCACGCGTCTTTACGACTGTCAGGAAGAGGAGATCCCAGAGCTGGAGATTGATGTGGATGAGCTCCTGGACATGGAGAGTGATGATACCCTGGCTGCCAGGGTCAAGGAGCTGCTGGTTGACTGTTACAAACCCACAGAGGCCTTTATCTCTGGCCTGCTGGACAAGATCCGGGGCATGCAGAAGCTGAGCACAGCCCAGAAGAAGTGAGTCTCCAACCCTGTGAATGGTGGCTCCAGGACAATCGCTGCCCTTCGACCTCGTAGCAACAGCAATATTGGGGCGCTGCAGCCAGGCCTGGTGCCATGAGCAGGGCTCCCTGTGCCCCGGCCCAGGGGCTTCTTCCCTTGCCCCCTCAGTTTTCCATTTTGGTTTTTTTTTTTATTATTATTAAAGTGATGGGACTTTAAAAAAAAACAAAAACAAAACAAACTACCATCAACAGAAAAAAATAAAAAGTGAAATTAAAAAGTTCCCAGAAGCAAATAAAAATGGAAATATAACATATCCAAACCTTTGGGACACCACAAAGGCAATGCTCAGAAGTAAATTTATAGAAACAAATGCACACATCAAAAAAGAACCAAAGTTAATACCTTAACCCAACAACTCCAACAATTAGAAGAAGAACAAAATTATTACCATCTTCAAAAGAAAGAAAAACAAAGATTATAAATATTTGTAGCTCTAGTGGCTAGTGATAAGGAGTTGCTCTGTCTATCCAAAAGCATGTAGTTTGAATCCACCAGCTGCTCCAGGGGACAAAGATGAACAGTATCCTCCTGTTCAGCTCACTGCCTCTGAAAACTCACTGGAGAATCAGATATGAATCAGTTCCAACTTGGCAGCACAGATCAACAACATTAACAAATGTTATTTACTAAATATGTATTAGGAGTTCTGATAGCCTAGTGGTAAGAAGCTGCACTGCAATCCCAAAGGCATGCTGTTCTAATCCACTAGCTGCTCCGTGAAGGACAGATGGGCAATCTCCTCCTGTACAATTTACTGCCCCTGAAAATCAAGTGAGGGTCAACTGTGGGTCAGTTTCAACTTGACAGTACACAACAATAACAACAACAAAAACCCCCATGTATTAGCATAAATAAATGAAACAGAAAAACAATAGAAAGAATAAATAAGACAAAGTTTGTGCTTCTAAAATAATAAGAGAATTTACAAAACCACAGACAAATATAACAAAGGAAAAGAAAGAGATTATGAAAATAATATAAGAAATAAAACTAGTGATATCAGAATAGAACCCACAAAAAAAAGAGATTAATAATAATAGAGTAGTAGTAGGAACTGTACCCCAGCCCTAAATTTGAAAACTTAGGAGAAATGGACAAATTCCTAGAAGCACATGATCTGCTTAAACTAATACAGATTGATGTAGAACATTTGAGCAGATCCATAAATTGAACAGGTCACAAAAGGCATTCCCAGTAACAAAAAGGTGCTGGCCCATGTAGCTTCCTCAGACAATGCTACCAAACAGAGCTGACACTAATTGTCTAATTGTACTGATACTTTTCTAGAACATAGAGAAGGTTAGATTACTTCTAAAACTCATTTTTGTGAAGCAAGCACAACCCTGGTACCAAAGCTAAGACCACTAAAAAAAGAAAATTACAGACCAACAGCATTTATAAATATAGATTAAAAAATGCGTAAGCAAAATCTTAGCCAATAGAATCCAACACCATATAAAAAAATAATACATCACAACCAAGTGTGATTCATACCAGCTATGCCAGTTTGGTTCAACATTAGAAAAATAATCAACAAAATCTGATACATAAATAAAACACAAGAAAAGACTATATGATCATATCAATCAATGCAGAAAAGGCATTGAATTTCTTCTCACATCCTGCTACAAATTGTCAGCAAAATAAGAATGGAAGGGTAAAACTTTGACATAAGAGAATACTTAAAAGAATCAACTGCTTTTGTACACCAGTGTTCATAGCAGCATTATTCACCATCGCAAGAACATGGAAACAGTCCAAATGTCCAACCACAAATGAATGGATTGAGAAATTATGGTACATTCACACAATGGTATACTATGCAGCACGCAGGAGAAATAACTTTGTAAATTATTACCTAACTGGGGAGGGACTGGAGAGCATTACGCTGAGTGAACTAACTCAGTCCCACAAGGATAAATATTGTATAAGACCTTATTGTAGAATGAGTATAAGGATCCAGGATGGGTGGGAGAGGCTGGAAGCAGAGGGATGTGGATGTACAGAGGGAAGAGAGGATTAATCATTGGATTGTACAATTTGGTGGGTGAGGGGTGAGGGAAATTTAAAGAATATGTTCAAATTTGTATTAGAACTTTGCAAATAAACAAGGGGGGGAAGCTTGGGGAGGGGGAAGAGATAAAATGTGCAACAATGAATGAATGAAAATCTAACTTTTCTGTAAATTTTTGTTAAAATGAAAATTAAAATAAAAATTTTATTTTAAAAAAATTAATTGCCAACATTTTCCCAATACGGAGAGACTAGCTTTGCAAAACAGACAAAGATGCCCTCCATGGTCACTCCTCTTACGCATTGTATTGGAAGTCCTAACCAGGGCGGTGAGGCAAGAAGGAGGCACCACAGAGACATGAGGACAGCCCAGGACTGGGCAGGGTTTGGTTCTTGTATACAGAAGGCTTCTATGAGTCACACCTGCTTGACAGCACTTAAAACAACAACAAATTGGTAAAGAAAAGGTAAAAATATCTCTATTTACACATGATATGATCCTATTTTTTTTTAAAGTTACAGTTTAG